AGTTTGTTGGTTTGCTGAAGCTTGTTAGTTGTGTGATGCATTGTCTTGTTATATACATGCTTTTAGTTTTGGTATAGAGATCATGGTGGCCTTGACGGCCCAATCAGGACTTCTGTGCTAGTTGGCTGTTTATTTATATGATCTCCTGGGAGTAGCTGTTTCTTTTATAGATCAGTTGACAGGGGCCTTGCCGGCCGATGGCTTAGTTTTAAGCCGAGATATACTTGTTTGATTTCTTGATTGCGTGTGGCTGCCATGCGCTAGTAGCAAATGGTTCAGCAGGGTCGGCTCGGGCCTGAGTTTTGGCATTAGGAGCCAGTTGAGCCTCTCGAGTTTGGGGCGTGACACATATATACCCCTAAATAAGTTTTAAGAAAATTAAAAGTCAAAAATATAAATTTAAAACTAACTTTTTCATTTCCGTTAAATGAAGAGTATATGTGAGCTCAATTTGTAACGGTAGGGGTATATGTGAGCCGTTTGTATAACGGTAAGGGTATATATGAGCCACTTTTATAACGAGGGGCATATCAGCTCTAAATGACAAAGTTGAGGGATATATCAGGCCCTTTTCCCAACTTTGTTTTATATCAATAAAATCACTCAATTTATGTTTTTGTATCAATACACTTAGCTAAATTTATTATTCATTAAATATATAAAATTATTTTTGTTGATTCAAATGCAATTAGACTCATTATGGGAAGTGTTGGGTTTTCTAATTGGGTTAATGGGAAAATTGTGAATGAATTTGGGTCTAATTGCATGTAAATCAATATAAATAATTTCATATATTTAGTTAATGATAATTTTAGTTGAATGATTTTAGTGATACAAAAACATAAGTTGAGTGATTTTACTGAAACAAAACAAAATTTAATGACTTTGCTAGATAAATTTCTTAAGTCGAGCGATCTTTTGAGATATTAATTCTGAATAAAACAAATGAATTTAAAAATATATGATGATTGTGATTGTCGATATAAACATGATTACATGTGGTTACCTAAAAGTCCCTGAGGATGCTAATGATCTTGACCTCAAAAGTTCAAAGTACTGCCCAAAAATCAGTATTACCATTGGTTTTAGGCTTTCCCTGATGTAGTTTAATTTGACTTCTATATAAGTTAATATTTTTTAGATCTTTGTTACCGTTCACATTTTTTAATGAATCCAAATGTATGTTGTTTATATGCATTTTTATTTTCATAAAAATAGAGAGCTTAATAATTTTGAATATGTTTCTTATGACCGCGCAAAGCGCGGACATGTTTGACTAGTATGAGATTAACCTTTGAACAAAGCTCATTTACGTTATTTGTTAAATATTTTTGAATTTATATATATCCTTGTCTTTCAATAAAATATCTATTTATGCTATTATTTTTTAATGAAAAATATAAATAATTTTGCAAAACCATTTTTTTTCATCATCCCAAAATGGGCCCATATTTACCAAACCAAGCTAGATATCCAGCCCATTTTCAAGAGAATCACCACCCTATAAATTCAAGTAAATTTAACTAATCAAAATCGCTCTAGCCCAAATTCACTAAAACTTGTACAAACTAGATGTATCACATGAATTTGGTTCAATCTCTTAAACGAACTAGATGGATCATATGAATTTGAGTCAATCTCTTAAACGAATTAGACGTATCATATGAATTTGGGCCAATTTTGCAACCCATACCAGAGTTTACCAAACCATTTCCAAGAGAATCACCACCCTCTAAATTCAAGTTATTTAATCACAATATCAATCTAGCCCAAATCCACTAAAACTTAAACGAACTAAACAAATCATATGAATTTAGGTCAATTTTGCCACCTAAGCCAAATTTACCAAACCAACACTAGATATCGAGCCATTTCCAAGAGAATCACCACCCTCTAAATTCAAGTATTTTAACCACAATATCACTCTAGCCCAAATCCACTAAAACTTACACGAATTAAAAGAATCATATGAATTTAGGCCAACTTTGCCACCTAAAAGCCAGAATTTACCAAACCAACGCTGGATATCCAACAATTTCCAAGAGAATCACCACCACCCTCGAAATTCATGTAATTTAACCACAATATCACTTTACCCCAAATCCAGTTAAACTCAAACGAATTAGACGAATCATATGAATTTGAGTCAAATCTCTTAAACGAACTAGACGGATCATATGAATTTGGGCCAAACCAAAGCTAGATATCCAGCCCATTTCCCAAAACAATCCCCACCCTCAAAACCCAATCAATCTACACCGTCCAGTTTAGGTCATTCAATTACCCACCACTATATAAACTCTCCATCATCTTCTCCATCAGTTCATAGAGCAAATCAGGATTTAGGGTTTTTCTCAGTTCTCCCTTTTTCAGTAAACCATAGATCTGAATTGAAGAGGTTAAAGTGACGGCGCCGCTGCTGTCCGCCTTGACTGAAAGTTGAATTCGTCTTGGCCCTCTTTTTGTTGTAGTAAAAATCTCTTCTTTTCATTTTTAGGGTTTTTGTTAGTTTTATCTGAAAACCAGTTCAAATGGCTCCAAAAGCAACTAAGGCTGAGAAGAAGATCGCTTATGATACCAAGATGTGTCAACTTCTGGATGATTTTACTCAAGTGCTTGTGGCTGCTGCTGATAATGTTGGATCTAATCAGCTTCAGAGTATTAGGAAGGGTTTGAGAGGCGATTCTGTTGTTCTCATGGGGAAGAATACTATGATGAAGAGAACTATTAGGGTTCATGCTGAGAAAACTGGCAATGAGACAATCCTCAATCTCATCCCTCTCCTTGTTGTAAGTCTTTTTGCCCCTCACTGATATTGTGTTACCATTTTTACATTCAAATTCTATATATGTAGGTATTCAAAGCATGTCAATTGTACTGAATTTGGTGTTCAATTATTGAATCTGATCAATTGATACAGAAAATGATAGAAGTATGTTTTTGTTTTCATAGTATAGGTAGTACTCAGTTAACTGTACTGAATTTGTTGTTTCGTTTATACTAGAGTAATGTAGAATTGATATTCCAATCTGACACAATAAACAACAAAAGCTATGCTGCTCGGACTCTTTAAAAATGTTGACAGGTGCATGTTGTATCCTCCGAAAATAGTGTATTTTTGAAGGACTGATACGGGTGTGGCAATATTTTTTGAATGTCCTAGCAACTTAGCAAAACTTGCATACATAGTATAGGTAGTACTCAAATAACTGTACTGAATTTGTTGTTCAGTTTATACTAATGTAATGTAGGATTGATCTTCACCAATGGTGTAATCTGTGTTTAACAGTCTAGTATTCTGGTAGTAAAAGATAAAGTGAAGGAACTTTTCCAATTGTATGTGCAATGTGTATATTCTAAGCATGTTTTTTTTATTTCATTGTATAGTTAACTAAGTTAACTGTACTGAACTTGTTGTTCGATTTATTATAGGGTAATGTGGGTTTGATCTTTACCAAGGGTGACCTCAAGGAAGTGAGTGAGGAAGTCGCAAAGTACAAGGTAAATTACTTGCTATACTCTTTTTATACTGTAAAATGATGAAACTTGCTTATGTTTATGGCTTTCTATGTGTGTTTGGGAATTAGTTTAAAGTATGTTTAACACGTTAATTGATGTGTTTCTTCAAGTGTTGCATGAAAATCATTAAGATGTGAACTTTTTACTAGTTATATTTATAAGTTTTAAAAAGGTCATTTTCACTTGAAACTGTACCGAAAAAGTCATTCTATGGTTTGTATATGCTATTACTCTCAATATTATTTTATTGTGTTTCGTCAATTTGTCTTGCATTTCTTTGAATTGTTGAAGACATGTTTTATGTTGGATGTTTGAATTGATTCTAAGTTTTAGTATGTTTTATGCTGAAGTTTGGGTTTTGCCATTTATATGTTAATAGGTTGGAGCACCTGCTCGTGTTGGTTTGGTGGCTCCAGTTGATGTTGTTGTCCCTCCTGGTAACACTGGTCTTGATCCATCTCAGACCTCTTTCTTCCAGGTGCGTGCCTCATGCCGCCAAAGAATTTTGTTTTTTTTCGCTTGTGTTGAGAAGTTAAATCTCATTACCTTACCATATAATTCTGGCAGGTGCTCAACATCCCAACTAAGATTAACAAGGGTACTGTTGAAATTATCACCCCTGTGGAGCTCATCAAGAAGGGTGACAAAGTTGGTTCCTCTGAAGCTGCCCTGCTTGCCAAACTTGGAATTAGGCCATTCTCATATGGTCTTGTTGTTATCTCTGTTTACGACAACGGATCTGTCTTCAGCCCTGAGGTGCTTGACCTGACTGAGGATGATCTCATTGAGAAGTTTGCCATGGGAGTATCTATGGTTACTTCTTTGGCATTGGCCATCTCTTACCCAACTCTTGCTGCTGCACCACACATGTTCACCAACGCCTACAAGAATGTGTTGGCCATTGCAATTGAAACCGACTATTCTTTCCCTCTAGCTGACAAAGTGAAGGAATACCTCGCCGATCCTAGCAAGTTTGCTGTTGCTGCTGCTCCTGCTGCAGCTGCTGGTTCTGGAGCTGCTCCTGCTGCTGCTAAGGAGGAGGAGAAGAAGGAGGAGCCTGCTGAGGTCTCAGATGATGACATGGGTTTCAGTTTGTTTGATTAAGTCTGTTGTTTGTGATGTCGTCTGTTTTTTGGTTTCGAAAACATATTTTCACCTTTATGTTTCCAAGTATTTGAACAATATTTAAATTCAGTTATAAGATGTAGTTTGATAATTTTGTTTTGGACCTTAATGCCTTGCCTCCTTTTATTACTGTTAGCATATTTTAATCCTAATAGTTTTGAATAGTAGATTACTAATTTTTCTCCCATTTAAACTTTTTGTTTTATCAAGTGTTTGTATGAATAATTGGCTGTTGAGAGTAAATCTTTTGTTTTAATTAATAAATGCAACCAAACACAGCTTTGGTTAAGGTTCATCAACTTTGTTGTTTTATTGCTTGCATTTTTATTTTATAGACAAAGTCTAAAATAATGTCGGGAGGCTCAGTACTTCAACTACAGTCCCCTTTCTCGAATGGATCTCTTAGTTGTTTCGTAGGAGCAAGTCAAAAAGATAGTAATAGAACCATCTTATTCTTATCTTTCGAGATTCACTCCACAATATGATGTAAAAAAAGTCAAAATAAGTGATTTTAGCCCTTATAAAAAAAAATGATTCACTAATTTCATCGAGTTATTTCAAAGGATCAAAATGATCAGTTATTAATGGAAGTCCTTGTCGGCCTTTTTTCTAGAGAAAATGGTCTAAACCCCCCCAACTTATACCCAAAATTCCAACTACACACTCCAACTTCACGAGTGTCCTATTATCCCCTGAACTTCATATTTCTCTATTTTCTACACACTTAAATGCTGAATCAGACCCAATATTGCTCTTAATTTCACGAATCAACAGAAACCCTAAGGGATAAAGCAAAAACTCGAAATAAGGGATAAATAACTAACCTTTTACTAAATCAGTTGATAAACTACGAAATCAAGTTGAGAATACACAACAAAATCCTTCGATCATCAACAGAAATGCATATGCAAATGGAGAAGGAGATGAAAAGGAGAAAAGATTTTTTTTTTTGGGTCTTTTACGTTTTAGCAGGGAAATGGGGGAAAAACATGAATTGGGAGTTGAAGAAGTGGGGGACTCGACGCGTGCAATCACGTTGGAATATTTATTTTGTTTATGTGTTGAGGTCAGCGTTTAAGTTGGTAGAAAATAGAGAAATATGAAGTTCAGGGGAGTAATAGGACACCCGTGAAGTTGGAGTGTGTAGTTGTGATTTCAGGTATAGGTTGGATGGTTTTTAGACCATTTTCTCTTTTTTCTAATCAGAGGGAACATTTATAATTCTTAATTCTATAAGGTAGGATGAAATTTCGATTGACCATTTGATAGTGGACACATGTAACTAATATCTAGTAGATCAAATACTAGATGATCATCAAAAAATTGAAATATAAATCCTATATATTAAATTTGCACTGGATTTGATGAATGTATTATATTATATATTATGATCCATAGAGTACAACAAAATCATATAGATACACAGCGGTTAAAAGCTTTAATATAGTTTAAATATGTTCCACACCAAAGATTAATCGGTAAAGAACATGATTAATTACGCTATTAAGATAAATTAGAAAATAGAACTTACTAAGACATCTTGTGGCTGTAGTTTAGTGGTAAGAATTCCACGTTGTGGCCGTGGAGACCTGGGCTCGAATCCCAGCAGCCACATTTACCAATTTTTTAAAAACTTTTCATTTTCAATCGATCGTATTTCTGAAGTGATTTAGAAAAATTCTTCTTTGTCGATAGTGATCTTTTGTTATTTTCTTACAATTAGTTTATTATTATTTTGGAACTTCCATGCTAGTAGTCGTAGTATTTACTCATGAAATTTCTTCATAATGACACACAACAATTACCACCTCAAACTAAACAAACTTAAGTCGGTTATATGAATAAGCAATTCTCCATAGTGATATAATTTGGAACCTAAAAAATGGAATAAATAACTTGTTATAACCGATTAAATAGATGGATCATCATTTGAAGTATCAACATCAATAAAAGGAAATTAACCCCATCTTTTTATATGTAACAAGCATAGGAAACAACATTACGTCTCTGCTTCAAATAAGTTAAGATCAGCTATATCAATCCTCGTTGCTTTATTGATCACAAGTAGTTACCAATGTGAAAATCTACTCGTCCCGGTGCTTTCAAAGTACTACACATAGACAAGTAATTATGTAAATCCTCTACGAAAATACTACTACTATATGATGTATACCGATGTCTAACTAGAAAGTGAGAGAGTGCAGATTTTGTGATTCTGCATAAGAAGCACAAATTTTATTATCTAAGTCGAACGCAAAAGAGGCCATCTTTCTGGATAATCCATAGCCACAAACACAGCAATGAATACCCACACCATCAGTATACCGATGATGATGGTCTTTATCAGTTCTTCTCTGCAGACACTCGTGTTGGAGACGTGATGATTAAGCTCAGTGCTATCTTTCACTTGATCAGGGGCTGGTTCTGTTAGAGTGACCTCATCGGATTCATTCACATGATCATCTGTTTCAGGTCTGCTCGTTTGATCAGGTGTTGGTTCTGTCCTTGTAGCTTCATCGGATTCACCTTCTGCATTGGTCTGGTCTGAGCATTTTGAACATGAGCAGTTTCCACCAAGAAACGGAGGGGTTGAATCGAGGTGATTGGATAGAAACTCTAGATGGTTTCTCCCAATAATCCTCACTTTTTGGCGTGTGGCTGGTTTTAGCACCTGCAAGCACAATGTTAGTTTGATGTTAATAGCAATGCAGCCATACATACAAATCAATGAAATCATGCAAACAAAGTAATTTTCATTTCCATACTATAATCAGTAGTTAACCTGGAGAGGTGCATATTAATCCAACATAACCAATCAAAATCCAAACCACGAGATAATAATCTGGGCGATACACCAACAAACAGAAGTCTTAACCAGCCATTTGAAATGAAGATGAGATAAGATGGGATAGCCCTCCCTTCGTGTTGGATTGTAAGAGAGGATTATGTAGTCGAGAGATTATTGTGTTTGCTGTAGAGGATTATGTACCGGACAAATGAACAGTTGAATTTTGGATTCCCAAATACCCCTACCGAGTTCACAAAATATTACCCCACAAAGTATAAGTAACCCAATTCTTTATGGGAAAGCAAAAACAGATTTGCTAGAAGTGAGAACAGTATTTTAAAAATAAAAAAAACAAAAAGTAGCAGCTCATGGAGGGAGGTAGCGTCCTTTTGTGTCTATCAGAGCTATGGATAGTTAGTAAAATCTTACTGAAGTGATGACTACATAGGATTTCTTCATTTTGATCCCCACAAATAGAGGAAAACCTCCCCCAGTCGGCAGAAGTAATCAAAACCAATTCACAACTATTTGATCATCAGAAGTCAAAATCAAGTGACTTGTGGATTTATGTGACCTCGCCCTCTGAACCAACAACACCAACAATAACAGATTTTTTTAAAAAAATTCAAAAGCCTTTTTGGTTGACACGGATTATCCTGTGTCAACCACAATAATTTCAGGTCAGACATCATTTACTTGGAAGCTACACAGTGACATGTTAACCATCCTGCCACCACAAATACCAGCCGCATCGGCCCACACAGCCTTTTCTTAAAAATTTCATCTCAATGGCAAGTAAATTAATAAGACATTTTTAACACCTGTGTAAGCAAAGGGATCAGGAGTTGCTGGTTTCTTTTTTTCTTTTTCTTGGGGTGGGGGTGAAATCTTTAAATGCATCAATGATGGAGTTACCTGAAAGAAAGTTTGCATTATTATTTGGGCAACTTGAGGGAGCCGAACTATAATCAAAGAGCTAAGACGATTAGGATAATGATCCTGCAAGAGCATAGCACAAGATCTCATCATGTGTATGGGAAAACCAAAGGGAGAGAGTCCTTCACAGTCCATCAAAACAGTTATTTGAGGATGTTCCACATTGACCATTCTCAGAATACAGTGCTCAATCTGCGAAACTGTGGAATCAAAACCTCCATAAGAATTCTATCCAAAATCAGCATGCAAACTGAAGAAATCTACATGAAAATCTGAGACCAAATGGCTGGCAATATAACAACAATAACATATCCAGTGAAATCCCACAAGTGGAGTCTGGGTATGAATTCCAAATAGCAGACCAGAAAATATCAGTGATTTCATGCCATGCAAATTTGACAAATTATTCGAAGAGCAATTGAGCTGCTTAACAGAAAATCCTGCAATGAAATTTCCATTGACGCAGCTTTTACTTGGATACCATGAAACTAGCAAAAGAATTAAAACTCAGGATTGGTTATCCCAGTGATAGCCATTATCCCAGACCCTAATTCCCAAGTTTACTAAGCATATTCAGGTTTCTCAGATGTTGGCATAGAACAAAGAGGTCTATCCAGGCCAACCCAGTTCAATTAGCAGAAAATTGGTCAAAATTTTCTGTAACAATTACATATCGGCAGCAAAGAGGATTGATTCACTAAGGGTACAGGTTAAATTTTCTATGACAACTCTAAACCTGAGTTATGACATGCACTTGAGCAGATTATACTATTCTATCCTGAAGAACCTGACCTCAGCCTCTTATAGCATACTTGACTCGTACTAAAACTTGCAATGATATTATTGAGTCACCAGTGACAACAGAGGCGTATCCAGGATTTCAGCAAGATGGGTGCACAATTACAAAAAAATGTATCTTAAATATAAATTTGATCGGTTTGACTTTTAGGTTTTTAATATGAACAATTAAATTTTAAAAATTATAGGTCCAAAACATATAATGCTACTAGTTTTAAATTTTAATATACATATTTGATTTAATTATATAAAAAATTTACAGTGCTAATTATTTTTAGGAATTTTCAATGTAACACGCTTGAAAATTTTGAAAGATTAAAGGAAAAAAACAAAAGAATAATTAGTTGAAACGCCAAAAGTGTAACCAATAACCACTTAGAGAGGTGTTAGTAAAAGACAAGATAGATATAAGATTTAAATTTCTATCCTCACTTAGAGGGGTGCACCCAATCATCATCGTATTATTATATGATACTTTGAACGTGGGTTCACACATCTATATTTAAATATTTTATAAAAAATATAACACTACTATATATGATCTAGAGAGGGGAGCATGGGTTCACGTGAGCCCACGGCACCCC